TGGTTAAGACAACAGTCACAGAAGCGGGCGACGCCGTGGATCTAACATCAATTAATCAGTTGGAAGAGAGCGTCTACGGGTTGGAACTGCTGGAGGAGGAGGTGGAAACCGCCTCCCTGTCTCACGAAACCAACGCAGTCAACCAGGGTGGGCAGAGTGACGACGTATCTGTCTGCCTCCACTGTCTGTGGCAATTACGACGAGCTATTGAAGACTAGTTGACCACCGAGTATCACTCCTTCAATGACAACATGACTACGACCACTGATGTTGAAAACAACGAGCTGGCATATGGAGTCTTGGAGCTGCATGAACAGCATCAACTCACGAATGCTGGAATCACCCCTTCCGACGGCTCAGAAGAGGCAAGGGACAAGGGCGATGATATTCGTCAGCAGCACCACGTGATCAATCGAAGTGACGGCTTGGACGTGATCTCCCTTTCCTCCGCCGGCGAACACAATGGTTAGAATTCCCTGGAGGAAGACACCATTGGACGGCACACTGCTGGCTATCACCCAGCGGTATGAGGTCGACCCGACACCGGAAGGAGGTGCATTTTTCCCCAGCAATCCGCGAGAAAATGATTGCCCGAGAGAAAATAATTGCCCGAGGAATCGAGGATACTATTTCAGGGAGCAGTGAGGCGGGAGGGACAGATAGGCGGGGTGGTGAAACTCATCCCTGATCCGCAGCACGGTGAGGCGAGGAAGACCAAGGAGGGTGTTGAAAGGGAGGGGGGGAGGAAGCAAGGGGTGAGAGTGGAAAGTTGTAGCCACCAGGCTTATCGCCTCTGGCGATCTCCTTGGGGCGGGCAGCCGAGAACGGGGCTGAGTACAGCTGGTGGAATGGAGCTGCAAACACAGTGGGATGTGTTCTGGCCCTTGCCACATCCCGGGCTTCCCTGGAAGCAGGAGGGTGAAGCATTCAGACCTCGGCGCGAGAAACAACCGGTCACTTCTTATACAAAGATTATACAACACCGCTACACTCTCAATGATCTCTCTCTTGAAATGAACTCAAAGACGAGGCTGTTTGACTTTCAAATTTACATGTTGATTGCTCTCCCCGCTGCTGATGATCTCTCACACGTTAGGTCAACCATACAACCGTCATCATGGCTGAGGGGGTGATCTGTGCAAAACAGCCTTATGAGCTACTATGACACTACTATGACACTACTATGACACTACTATGACACTACTATGACACTACTATGACACTGCGGCAGGGAATGTGGATGGGAAACCTGGGTAAGGGGTGGTTGGGGGGAAGATCTTAACAAACGTTAGTTTAGGGTTTGCTTTTTCACAGGCGCCCACTGGGGTGGAATCTTTGTTTTCGTCTCTTGAGCTGGGGTGAGGGACGGACATGATTTATCGAAGGGGTGGGACAGAGTTGGTAAGCAACGGTGGATTTTGCTGCGGTAGGCTTATGATCAGGAGGACAGTTAATTCCCTCCGTCAGAGGGCAATCAATGCCGTCTTCCGTTGTATTGTCATTTGCCGACGCGTTCAAAACTTGGTTCCGTGAAGTTGTTCTCACAGGGATGCTGGACCCGGTTTCCACCAGGTGCAGCTCCCCACCAATAGAATGGAGCCATCGACCCTGCGAGGGCTGATAGCGGAGGTTGCTCTTACCAACTCCGCTAGCAGGCATACTGGCACATACAATGTTTTCTAAATTAAAAAAAAGAAAGAAAGAAAAGAATGGGTGATTTGTGCCCAGCCCGTGCGGCTGAACAGCACACCCATGAGCTGTTGGTAAAGATACCTAAATTTGAATCCAGATGGAATCAAACGAGAAACATAACTCCGAATTTACCGAAAAAGGGGTGTGTGATTTGTTTTGAAACTCGAATGCACCTCCCAGACAGTTACTTTTGGGGCAATAAGGAAGTGTAAGTATGCTCTATGACGAGATGACATTCCCCTTGATTTTCGTCTTTGGGTGGCTGTACGGACTCCTGCTTGAAAACTTGTACTCCCGTTTCTTGTTTTTCAGTGGCCTTTTCCAAGGAACTGACCAAAATTCACCACTATGTCTATAAGCCTAGCCCTGGCCCTTGGATAGTATTTTTCTTTTCTTTTTTTTTCCCCTCCTGTTTTTTGCCTCTGGATGGGTTAATAACTTAAGTAGTAACTTGATACTATTGATAGGCCACAAACCTCCGTCTCCTGCCAACAATGAAGCAACTGGTGCTCACGGCAGTCTAGCGTAATAGCATTGAATTTTCACAGTTGAATCATATACCGGCACTCGAGCGAAAAAGACCTTCCTGTCCTTCGGGCCAAATACAGCTATAATGACCGGGCATTCTATTCGGGTGAAGACAGCAGTAAACAGCTCACGAGTTCGAGTCCTGTTGGAATCAGATGAACACGGTAGTGCTAAGGGCTACCACCTCCCAAAAAAATAGAAAGTCAATATCAATCATGGTAACCGCCTGGACGTCCGGACCGGGTTCCAGACAGTCCGGTGTCCGGTGTCTGGTGTCCGGTGTGCAGTCCCCATGTGTGGATGGAGGCCCCTGGGGCAAAAAAAAAAAGAAAAAAAGGGGCGGCCCAGGACGTTTGTCGGGTCCTAGCCGCCCGTCGAAAAATAACGGGGTGATTTTTAAGTGTCCTTTCACCCCACCGGACATGGCCTAGAGGTCCAGACACAAGACACTGCAGCTTTTTCAGGTGGCGGGTTTTGCACAGGCCCGAGCAATTTCAAAGCGGCCGTTTCGACGTGGCGCCCGCCGCTCCTGCCCGTTAGGGAGAGAGAGAGAGAGAGAGAGAGAGAGAGAGAGAGAGAGAGAGAGAGAGAGAGAGAGAGAGAGANCAGTCTGAAGACTCTGAGGTTCTGAATTGAACTGCAAAGTTCGAACTTTTAAGTTATATATGAAGTTATGAACTTAAATTTCTAAATCCAAAGTTCAAAGTTAATCATACTTTTTTTTTTTTTTGAATTCTCTGTTTCTTTAGTCTTGTGCCTGCTTTGCACTGTTTGCAACTCTGCATGTCTGCTAGTTAAATGTGCTGGTTGATTTGCTGCAAGACACATGCTCTGCTGCCTGAACTACAGAGTGCAAAGCAGGTAAGTGCCTGCCAACACCCCCACCCAGCCTCCCCCCCACCCCCGTTTTTTTTTTGTTTTTTTGTTTTTTATGGGTCCGGACATTTTTGCACCCCGGGGACCAGTCCGGACTGTCCGGTGTCCGGTGATGTCCAGTGTCCGGTGATGTCCGGTGTCCGGTGATGTCCAGTGTCCGGTGTCCGGTGATGTCCGGATCACTGGACAGTCCGGACCGGTCCAGACACTGGTCCGGAAGACAGTCCGGAAGTGTCCGGTGTCCGGGTCCGGGGTTACCATGATATCAATAGCAAGTATTAGCAACTGAAGTGTATAGCAAACGCACACCACTTGCTCAGACTCTGCCTACCCTAAGGCGTAACACTGTTACAGCGTAAGCCATCCGTGATGAGTCTCAGGGCATCGTCGGTAATGAGAAGAACTACTGAGGCACATTCACCAGGACGAATAGAAGTTCGCAATGAAGTGCTGTAGAACCATTTGCCTGCTCTCGGTCGCTAGACCAGAATGAGAAAGGCTTTTATGCTCTCAGAGTCTCAGTTCCGAAAAGCAATCTGAGCAGGAAGGAGAGGAGGAGGGGGTGGAGGATTCGGGCGGAAGGGGGTAGAGGAGAGGATGGAGGGAGAGGAGAAGAAAGGAGGGGAAAGGAGGAGGAGGCAGCTCCTGAGTGTGGTGTTTGGAATGACCGCAGGGTATGTCTCTATATCTCAATCTGCCACCTTGCTTATGAAGTGTTGAGAAAGCGTAAAATTAAATATGAGGCAATGCACAGAATGTGCCAGAATAGACGATAAAGTAACAAGAGGAGGAGGAGGAGGAGGAGAAGCAGCAGGAGGAGGAGAAGCAGCAGGAGGAGGAGAAGAGAGGATGATGAGGTAGGAAGAGTAGGGGACATCGATAAATGGCAGGAGTGTGACAATAGGGCAGGTCTTCATCAGTGACAGTGAGGTTAACATAAGCAAGAAGACGAGCTTGGTAAGGTAGAAAGTGGGAAAGGAGGAGGAGGCAGCTCCTGAGCGTGGTGTTTGGAATGACCGCAGGGTATGTCTCTATATCTCAATCTGCCACCTTGCTTATGAAGCGTTGAGAAAGCGTAAAATTAAATATGAGGCAATGCACAGAATGTGCCAGAATAGACGATAAAGTAACAAGAGGAGGAGGAGGAGGAGGAGGAGAAGCAGCAGGAGGAAGAGGAGAGAGGATGATGAGGTATGAAGAGTAGGGGACATCGATAAATGGCAGGAGTGTGACAATAGGGCAGGTCTTCATCAGTGACAGTGAGGTTAACATAAGCAAGAAGACGAGCATGGTAAGGTAGAAAGTGGAAGAGGAGGATGAAGCAGCTGCTGCATATGTGGTGCCTGCAATGATGCCTAAGCTACATTTTTATCTGCCTCTGTGTTCATGATCGTTAAGTCAAAGTTTTAACATATGGCCTGCCAGACAGCCCAGGGCTTGCTAGATGTCTACCCCTGAGTACCATAGCATCCTGGTGTGTGCCCGTTTTGACGATCCAATTTTTGACTTGTTTTATCCTCCAGTCTAAAGTAACATCTATTTTTGTGTGTGATCTGGTTCATTTGATTGGCTTGGGTTGAATTGGGTTGAACTTGGGTTGAATTTGGGTTGAACTTGTGTTGAATTGGGGTGAATTGGGTTGAAATTGGGTTGAATTGGGTTGAATTGGGTTGAGTTGGGTTGGGTTGGGTTAAGTCGGGTTTGAGTTGGGTTGAGTTGGGTTGAGTTGGGTTGGGTTGGTTTAAGTTAGGTCGAGTCGAATTGGGTTGAGCTGGGTTAATTCGGGTTGAGTTGGGTTAAGTTGGGTTGAGTTGCGTTTGAGTTGGATTAAGTAGGGTTGAGTTGGGGGTTAGATTAGACTAGGTTGGAATGAGATTGTTGGGGCCCTGACTTCTTGTATGCAGGTCTAAGTCCCCTGTGTGGAGTGGTGGTCATCGCAGCAACGAATCGCGTCGACATCATTGATCCTGCCCTTCTGAGACCCGGTAAGAACCTTCTAGGCACCCTCAGGGCATTATCCCACTAGGACCTCCACTGTTTCAAGTTTAGTTATGATTGTATAATATGTATATGCATCCACGTGTCAGCATGATGTCATGTCTCAATACCCCCGTGCTTTCCATGTTTCAATAATCAGCCCCATTCCCAACATCTTCAACAAAAAAAAAAAAAAAGAAAGAAAACTTAGAAAAGGTTGTTGCTGTGTATCCTGCTGCTGCCCTGGTGTTTTTCCCATCGGCTATGCCACGGTCCGCTGTCATGTGCTGCATTTCAAATGCAGCATTTATGTTTTTCGGAAATTTTTTCCTAATGTTTATGATTTAAATGTTTCTCGTCAAGGTTCTGTGCTTAGCGTGTGCCATGCTCTCACACCGTCCCTTGCGCTCGTGGGTGAACTTGGAAACTGCCTGGTGGAGGCATCGCCCGCATTGGTTTGGTACTCGAGCAGGCACTGCGCTGCACTGCTCTGCCATTGCTCTGCCACACAATCCCACACAGCATCGCAGCAGATGACATTATCACCTGTGTCCCTTACCATGGTATACTGCCTGACACGGTTGACACAGTGTGACATTGTGATGTTGCCACACACGCTGTTGTTTCTGTCACAGTGTGACAGTAGGCTCGGCAAAAAGCATTTTGGGGTCGTCAATTTAGCTTCAGATGGACTGGTGTTTTTGAAGGACCAGTACGCCTGCGCCTGGAGGCACTGCACTTCTTTTCCTTTTCGGCTGGCGCCGCCAGCCATTGTGGTCCGGTAGGCCCGACCCGCAAAATTCTCGGAGTAGGCGAGGAACATTTTTCTGCAAGGCTGAGGCAGTGTACTAGCTGTTTGAAGGTTTGTTTACAGCTTTTCATGGTGTGTGCAACTCGGTCACATTTTAGCTGACTTTCAAGTTTCCCAGTTAATCACATTTGTTGTGGGGGAGATCATGGAGTTGCACTGCTCTAAGCTTCTCTCATGCTCTGTTCTGTCCTCTCCAAGTGTGTTGTTACACTTGCACTTATGTAATATGGCACTTCCTAGGTTTGACTTTGCATCCTTGCCATGTTGCCCATGAATCCCATGCTTGCATTTTCTTTGTTTTGCCTCTCATTGCGGCATGAAGTTTGGCCTTGTTTTGCAGGTGTGAGCTTTGAACTCTGAAGTTGAAGTTTTAACCACTCCCCCCCCGCCTCCTCCCCGCCCCCTTTTGGTTATGGTGCGACTGCCGTCATGTTCTCTTCTTGCATTCTGTAACACACGCCATTCGGCACTGTTGATTATGTCAGTCAGCATATCATCTTTGCCAATCTCTACTGTCATCGCACATAGACTCCACATTTGACACATGGACGCTGCATTCATCACCCATTTACCCTTTTTTTTTTTTTTTTTTTTTTTTTTTTTTTTTTTGAAGAGCTCTCGATTTATGGTTGTCATCCGTGCACAGGGGGCATGGTAATCTTTTCTGTGTCAGCTCTGATTTTTTTTTTTTTTTTAATTTGGATGCTCTCTCGATTTTAACGGATGTGAAAACGGACAGTACACGGTCCCAGCCTTGCTGAAAAAGAAACTCGTCACCTACGAAAATTTCGGAGGCTCGGCCTACCGAACCACAATGGCTGGTGGCGCCAAGAAAAAAAAGTGCGCCTCTGGCAGTTTGGAAAAGCTTGGCGCGCAGTAAGGCACCTGCAGGCCCGGGTGTACTGGTGGTTCAAGCCAAGAAACGTCCGTATTTCCTCTTTTTTTTTTAGCTTGGACGATCTACCGATTCATGTCCAGGCCATTCTGGTTGTGGTATGCTGGCTTTTGCTTTCCTGTTGTAATGTCATAGAGTGCGTTAACCGTTTAAGACACCCATTAGTACACTGCCTTCTGCCGAAAGCATTGGCTCAACGCTTCCAGACAGAGAAGTGCAAAGAAGGAAAAAGAGAGAGAACTATTTCCGTGAAATTCCCAATTCAATGGACCATCTGAGAAAAGGTGGGCCTCCTGGTAACCAGGGCGCTACCGTCTTCATTTTGGGTGCACAGGACCGGAAAGATAGCTAGTATACATTCAGAATCAGGGTGCGTTATGTACCTGGGAAGATGGTAGTAGAAGGGCTATTCATGGCTCACTGTAACGAAAAATTCTGCAGGCTCAGGGGCAGAAGCCGCAGAACACTTCCTCTTGCCGAGGCAGAGCTGCTGACACTATCAGTGTGGAACTGTTTCTACCTGATACGTTTCGATCGGTTCCGTTCGTTTTTGTTTTCCTACTCTGTAATATTTTCAATAATGTAATTAATAATTATTCAAGTATTATTGCAATCAGGGTTACCAGCCCGGACACACGGAGGCCCCCAGGCGGACCTCCGTGCACTTGGACGTTCGGGGTCCTGTTCGGGGTCCGAACCTGAAGGGGTTCGGCCCCCGCCAAAAAACATTTCGGCGCCTAAAAACAACTTTGTTTTTCTGAATTTTTTTTGTGAGTTCTCTATGATGTGACTCATGTGAGGTACATGCCTATAAATTTTGATGTTATTTTACTAAGACAGAAAAAAAAAAAAAAAAAAAAATCTCCAAAGATGGTCAAAATGTGCTCGCCCACTCACTATTTTGTTTTTTTTTCACTTTCTACTTTTTTTTTTCACTTTATTTCAGGGTCTAAACAAATCTATTATTCTTTGAAACCTTTTTCATGAGTTTTGTATTATGTGACGTACACCTCTGTAAATTTTCAGGGCATTTGGCTATGCCAAAAACAAATGAAAAATTCGCCAAAGATGGCGGTGTCGAAAACGGGCTTGCACACTCACTAATTTTAGTTCTCTAATTTCTCTTTTTGTTTTTTCTTATTTTTCCTTCTAGTATTTAATATTTATTTCCGTATTTTATTTTTATTTCAAATTTGGTAATGAATTTGGATGTAATGCTCAGGCAAATGTTATTAACATATGCTCAGGCAAATGTTATTAACATATGCTCAGGCAAATGTTATTAACATAAATCGAGAAATGGTCCAAAAAAAGGAGAGAGAGAGAGAGAGAGAGAGAGGAGAACATTTGTGAGCTGTGTTTCCCTCCGTGCATGGTGTTCACCTTTCTTTCTTGTGAAGTGTTTTTCCTTCTTCCCCTCCTTAAAATTAATCGTATTGATTGGATTTGGTTGTATTAAGATTCTCGTGTGTTGAATGATGGTGGTTTTATTATGTGCAGGACGTTTTGACAGGCTGCTGTTCGTGGGTCCTCCGGACATGGCCACCAGGGAGAAGATTTTTGAGGTGCATACCAGAAAGATTCCTCTATCAAATGATGTCAACAGGCGGGAGCTTGCTGAACTCACTGTGAATTTCACCGGTGCTGACATTGCTGCTGTCTGTAGAGAGGCTGCCATGGCTGCTTTGGAGGTGAGCTTCATCTCTGTTATTTCTCTCTCTCTCTCTCTCTCTCTCTCTCTCTCTCTCTCTCTCTCTCTCTCTCTCTCTCTCTCTCNCTCTCTCTCTCTCTCTCTCTCTCTCTCTCTCTCTCTCTCTCTCTCTCTCTCTCTCTCTCTCTCTCTCTCTCTCTCTCTCTCTCTCTCTCAAGCACACACACACACACACACACACACACACACACACACATATTATTGTAGAAGATGAGATGAATCAATCCAGCAAGGAAGCACTGTTGCCTCCCCAGTTAGCAACATGAGGCACAATAGAAACGTTACCTTTATGCAAGCAATGCCTTCATGGGTAGATCCGACATCATAGGAACCTGACCTTTATGCAAGCAATGCAGCATTCTTGAGAGGGGATTACCCAACAATGAGACAGTTAGCAATATGATAGACAATGGATCAATTAATACAATTATGTCATTTTCAGATTTTCTTGACTCTATTCACCATTATTATCGTTGGGAGGCCTCCCAGTTTATTTGTTCTTACACACCCCTCTTACTGTGCCTCTCACGTACAAGGCTGGCCACGTTGATGATGGTTATGTGCCAGTTGCCCACATCCCCATGTGCCTTGAGGGGCCACTTGCACATTATGAAAGGAGGCAGAGTAAAAGGGGTGACTTGTATTTTGTCTGTTCTCTTAGTGTCGCTCATTCGTGTGCGTTTACGAGTAGTGCACAAGGAGAGGGAGTACACAAGAGGAGGGAGAGGAAATGGACGAGGCCCGCCGCAGCAAGCAACGTGCACGCTGCGGAGGTGGCTGCAGGGGATGACGGACTAAGTCCTGCAGAGGAAACCAGCGCGAGGCCTACCCAATCGCGCGGAGTTGAGCAAAGCCATGCAAATAGTGCTAACCTTAAGTTGTCGAAGAGCAGAACTGTTCAAGTACAGCAGAGGAAACCAGAGTGAGGCCGATCCAAACGCGGAGTTGAGCAAAGCCATGCAAAGAGTGGGAGTCTTAAGTTGTCTAACGGCGCTTGCGTGAATCCGGTCGTCTGTTTGCAGGAGGACCTCGATACAGAGGAAGTTTGTATGAGGCACTTCAAGGCTGCCTTGCCCCTTGTCTTGCCTTCGTCATGAAGGGTCGAACGCATGCGACAACGTTTGCGCCATGGATCATCTGAAACTCTCAGAGTCTGACCAAAATGTCTGTCAGATCTGCAAGGTACTAAATGTTTGTCGCTTGTTGACATTTTCAGTGCCGAGGTTGCGGTATGCTGAGCAACGTTCAGTGTATGCCGAGTTTTTTTTTTTTTTTTTTTCCTTTTTGCGTTTCATCCTTTCACAGGTCTATGCTATAATCTTCTCTGTACCTTTCCAATTTTAAAGGATGTATCGAGTAATTGTTCAGTGACTTGAGTTTGTCTTTTTGGTAACGATGCCGCACAATTGTCTTTGTACTAAGTTTGTAGGTTTTCAAATTCCTTGCTGAAGTCATTTTCTGTGGGGGGGGTTACGGTTTTTTGTAGGGTTTTTGGTAGGGTTTTTGGTAGGGTTTTTGGTAGGGTTTTGTAGGGGTTTGGGTAGGTTCTTTGTATCTAGGAGGGTTTCTTGTGTTTTGTTTTTAAGGATCTTTTGTAGTAGGGTTTGTTTTACTTCTTTGCTGAAGTTGTAGAAAGTCCGTGAGGGTATTTCCGACCTTTTTTTTTTTTTTTTTTTCCTGCCACTCTCCTGTGGTCCTCTTCGGTCTACAGAGAGACTAGATTTTCTAAATTTTCTGGTGGAATGTTTAGTGTGGGGGTAGGCGAAAAGAGGTACGGTGTTTTAGAACATCATATTCGAAATTGTTAATTTTGAAGGTTGCAAATTGCGAAGTATCATTAGAACATGTGGTGTTTTTCAGAGAATAAAATTTGTCAACCGTTCAACCTGTTGTGGGTGAGCACGGGAGAAGTGGTCATTCATGCCTCTTTTTCTTTTTATGCGAGTCTTCTGATGCGAAGCAGTCTAAATGCGCCTTCTTTTTTTCCCGCATCAGGACGGGTGAGAAGAGCGTGCTAATCTAGTAGTCCTCTTGATAATAAATATCAAATTTATATCGTTTGTAAAACTTCCACTGGATGTTTCAAATGACAAAAAAAAAAAAAAAAAAAAAAAAAAAACATTTACTGATAAATGTTTTTTTAGGTTTTTGCCCACGGGATAAACCAAATGACATTAAAAAAAAAAAAAAAAAAAAAAAATGCTGATTTGCCATTAACCCAGCTAGGAGGAAAACCCAACAATGCTGAAGTACAGAATGTCTCGGCACAGTTTCAATGTCTCCAATCATACATGTAATCAAGGGTCCAATGTCAAGTAACCAGAGAAGAGAGTGAGGAGAGGGAGATTAGACTGAGAGGGTGGAAGACAAAGTAAGCATCAGCGTTAGCAGATAGATCTCCCTCCTTGGCCCACTCCTCCTTCGGCCATCTCCCACTTGCCACGTCAGCAGACAGTTTCCTCTGACTCACACTGACATCGAACAGATCTCAACATGGCGCACACTGCGCAGACTCCTTCTGAAGACAACAGCAGAGCACAATGTCGACACGGTCGAGAACAGGTAACCTCTCCCTTCCACAATAGACCAATCTCACGGCCCTGATCCTCCTCCTCCTCCTCGCCAGTGTCCAATCAATGCTGTAAACAGAGTGCCCAATGCCACATCAGCATAGTCCCTGATCCAGCTGGCGCCAAAGACAGATATGGCGCCAGCCGCATCATCATTCAATGTCAAGCCAGCGTCCAGCCAGCATCTAGCCAGTGACCGGCCAGCGTAGAGCCAGTGTCCAGCCAGCGTTGAGCAGCAAGTGCACGACTGAATGTCGGTCAGCAGGGGCTGGGTCAGCTTATAGCCTCTGGTCTCTCAGATACAACGGCCCAGATTGACCCACAGTCAATGACCTTGATCTCATACAGTTGCAGATTCCCACTTGGACTGGATTCTTGACAGATACCTGCAAACAGCCAATGTGTGTGTCTGATCGATGGCCTGGGCTGGGTCCATGTTGACTTTGACTCGTGAGCCTGAATTTCCGAGCTGCTGTTGACCTTTTGACTTTTCACGGTCAACTGTTGCACGTTGGCCCTCTGAAGCCCAGTTCCGAGGCCATGCTTCGGGTACCCACAGCAGCAGGCCTTGTTTCAGGCTATTTCCATGACTCGGGTGCGACCGATGGCCCTCGATTCGGCCCTTAGTCTGAAATGACGGACTATGGCTCACGACAATTGCATGGTACGACCTGAGTTATTGCAGGTTAATGTTTTTTTAGGTTTTTGCCAACTTTGCCTCTTCTTTAATATCGTGACTGAATTCCTCTCAGAATTAGGTGATTGGTCGTCGTTTATTTACCATGTTCAAAAAGAAAAAAACAAAGGAAAAATTTCCGAAAAAATGAAGAAAAAAAAAAACGTGAAGAATGTGCAATAACCCATGCCATATGTCTCGTGGAAAGACTGAGGGCCAACTCGGCCGCCCTCAGCCCAGGCCAAAACAGGGGTAAAGACCCCACACGAACATTCAGGGCCTGGACGTGAGACAGTTGACTTTTGTCAACTGCCTTGACCCCAATAGTCAAAGTCCAAAGGTACCCAGTCCAGGCCGCCGGTCAAGCACACACACTTGTTTGTATGCAGGTACCCAGACAGCATAAGGTCCAAGGGGAAAGTCTGCAACTGTACGATCCAGGCCTTCGGCTGTGACTCAATCTGGACGACTGAGGGAAGGAGACCCGAGGCCAGAGAGCCTAAACAAATACTACTTAAAGACTGGCCTCGAGGTGGTCAGCATTCAGTCTTGCTATGCTGGTTCGACGTTGGCTTGACTTTGACTAGACGCTGGCATTATGCTAGCGCGACACTGGCTGTGCATCAGTGCTGCGGACGACGACATGAGGTGGAGGCAGCATGCTGGCATGGTATGCCAGGCTTGCTGAGGTGGCATGCTGACGTGGTGCTGCCTCTGGTCTACGTGGCATGCTGACGTGGCGCTGCTTCTGGTCTATGTGGCATGCTGATGTGGTGCTGTCTCTGGTATATGTGGCGCTGCTTCTGGTCTATGTGGCATGCTGACGTGGCGCTGCCTCTGGTATATGTGGCGCTGCTTTGGTCTACATGGCATGCTGACGTGGCGCTGCCTCTGGTATATGTGGCGCTGCCTTTGGTATACGTGGCATTGCTATTGGTCTACATTGTTGATGTGGCATATGCCACCTGTCTTGGTTGCTGACGTGGCATTGTCCACGCTGTCTACATGAGGTGACTGGTTGCGAGGGAGAGGAAGATCGGGATCTGTGGTTATAGAGGATCGGGTACTCACTTGTGGCTGACGTCGTCACTGGACATTTGCTGTGTCTTCAGGGTCTTCATGAGATAACGTGCCACGTGGCACTACTATGTGAAACCAGGCTTATTCTTATTATCATTGATGATGTAGTGTGGAGCAGCCCGGAGAAGGAGAGGGATCAGAAGGGTTCTGTGTATTCTCTCTTCCTCTCCTTTGTCTATTCTCCCTCCATAATGAGATACTGTTTGTGATATCAAGTCACGATCTGGAGACTTTCAGACAGATATTGAAACTACTGTTGATTGACGACTTCTGGGTATCTATCAGACTGGGTTCATTGCAATTTGGTAGCGGAGCAAACTCTTCATCGCAATCTGCTGTCTGCTGACAGGTGCTGACGTGGCACCCAGGTAAGTGGGAGGTGCCGCATGTGCAATATGAAACGTGTTTATTAACGCGTTCGGTCATACCGCAAGTCTAGACATGGTAATAGTGCACTTGCGAGCAGCCGTCCCTTGAAGATGATGAAGAAGCTACGCTGAAGATTGAAGAGCTGCGTTGGCAACAGGCTGACGTGGCGCTGGTACCGCTGATGTGGCACATTGTTATGTGGCATGCAGGGGAAGAAGATAACTGGGAGCTGTGGGACGACAGCATCATGGTCCACGCCACGACTGATGTTACTGATTTCTTACATAATGATGCTGTTTTCTTGTTCCACACCAAACCGTCCGCAATGTCTTTTATGTGGAAGAAGATAGTTCCTCTGGGGCCGTCCAGCAGCAGGAAAATGGACCAACGGGCTTCTCCTTTGCGCAGTTACAAACGCTGTTACACTCGGCTGTAGCTGCCATCGTCTCTGTCACAATCACTACAACGACATGGTTTCTGCGTCCATCTGTGTAGACAACTGTCCCTCTGTTCTTGACCGCAGGCATCCTCCGCATCCGTCCATTTTGCGGCCATGGGCGCTATACCGAATGCATGGTCTTTTGTGGTGACTGTTCTTCCTTTCATTTTGGCCTGCAATCGACATGCCATTTGTCGGTGGTGTATGGTGGGCATGCTCAATGCCACCCGTCGTGTCAATCGTTGTGTACTGAAAGTGCTCAGCTAGGTCTTCCATGTGTTCATCCGTACAATGTATGTCCTTAAAATGTATGTCCTCTCTGTCGACAAGGAAAGACTGATTCTTGAGCCTTTTCTTATCCTCTCCTTTGCCTTCACCTTCATTGCACGCTCCTTATTTTCCCCTACTCTCCCTTTGCCGTTCTTTGTTTTGCCTCATCTCCATCTCCAAGGAGACCACCATGCATGGCACACTCAGACACGAGTTCCGCATCATACTGCACTCACGCGAGACACACGTCGTCCAAAACAGTCTCTGAATTCAACCCAAACTTGATTGTCTTCTTCGGAGTTCTTCGTCACCAGTGGCTATGGCCGCTCAACTCAACATGCAGGTAAGACTCTCTCTCTTCTCCCTCACGGTCCTCGCTCGTCTCTCAGAATGTCTTCCTCTCTCTCACACTACAACTATGGCTATGGCACCGAGCGCCATTGACTACACTGCAGTACGCTCACTCTCACTGACGTGGCCGCCTCTCCAACGCACGAGACTGCAGCAGCACTTCCGCATTGAGTGCCCAACACTGTTGACGCTGCTGATTTTTTTTCAGTTGCTGGTTCACCGTCCAGACAGCTTCTGCCAGTTATGGGTTGGCTCCCCTTTTCATAGTTTGATGCTTCTGGAAGCCTGAGGATTCTCCTTGGACCTGGCTTCTTGGTCGGACTGACTGACACCTGGCGTAACGACCTTTGTGATCCTGGCTGAGGCTCATCATACCTTCTGAAAATAGACTCTTGAACCCATAACTGTTATCTTGCAGGGATTTCCTACCACGATCTATTTAACTAACCTGCTTAGGTATCCATGACCATGGTAGAAACGAAAACTACTACTCTGGAGTGTTCGTGAGTATTGTACAAGTGGCTGGAACAACCAATGGAGCACCGAATGGGACTCCGTCCTGGGACCTGGGACTCGGGATTTGGGACTGAAACAGGGGTGCTGAGATTTGTGAACCCCTTTCATATCTCTCTTCTCTGGGTTTATCTCCTCCCCTTTTACTCTGCCTCTTTCTTACAGCGTACAAGTGGGCCGTTATGGCACATGGGGATTCGCGAAGCTCGCGCTCAACGTCATCGACGTGGCCAGCCTTGTACGGTGAAGGGGGAGTTGAAAGAATGAATGAGAAAAAACATGAATGGTTTCAGTCTGCTCTTCATGTTTGTCTTGTGCATTTTTATTTTTATCGTTTGTTTCGCAAAGTGTGCTCTTTTAGTTCATAGATATGTGACAATGTGTATGTCTGTTTTAAAGTGTGAGGCAAGTTCTGTTTGAAGAGAGGTCCATCTAATGACATCTGTTTGCCTGCAAAATAAATATCTGTCAAGTATTTGCCCATTTTTATTACAAGTTGTTTCTTCCTGACCTTGACAACTCTGTGTGCTGTACCTTTTTTCCCCTAGACAGAGGAGGAGGGGGGGGTGGGGGGGGGGGGGGGGGGGGGGGGGGTTAGCTCCCTTTTTTTTTTA